TTGCCACTGGACCCAGATGGCTGCAGCGGAGAAAGCGAGGCTGGTGACTTTGCACAGTCTTCCCTTACTTAAATCCAATTCACTTGCAAGTCTTGACATCACTTTCTTGATGTCATGGTCCTCTTTGAGAATGAAGGACAAACAACAACATGCAGAGTGTAGCATGCAAAATACCAGGCTGGACCAATTAAAAGCTAGAATTAAGGTAGCCAGGAGAAATATCAACAGTCTCAGATATACCGATGATACTAGTAAAAAAAAGTGAAGAAGAATTAGGAAACCTTGATGAGCATGAAAGAGGAGACTGTGAAAGCTGGCTTGAAGCTTAACATAAAAAAAAAACCAAAAAACAAACCAAAAAACACAAAGCCTAAGATCATTGCATCCGGTACCATTACTTCCTGGAAAATAGAGGGAAGAGAAATGAAAGCAGTGTCAAATTTCATTACTTGAGGTTCCGAGATCAATGTAGATGGTGACTGAAGACATGAAAATAAAAGACACTCCTTGGAAGGAAAGCTACGGCAAATCTGGACAGCATACAAAAAAGCAGAGACATTACCTTGATGACAAAGGTCTGTATAGTCAAAGCTATGTTTTTTTCCAGTGGTAATCTGTGACTGTGAGAGTTCGGCTATAAGGAAAGCTGAACACCACTGAATCAGTGCATTCAAATTGTGGTGCTGGAGAAGACTTTTGGGAGTTCCTCGGACAACACGGATATCAAATCAGTCAGTGCTTAAAGAAATTAATTCAGACTACTTATTGGAAGGACAAATATGGAAGCTGAAACTTGAATATTTTGGCCACAAAATGAGAAGACAGGACTCATTGGAAAAGATTCTGATGCTGGGAAAGATTGAAGGCAAAAGGAAAAGGGGATGGCAGAGGAAGAGATGAATAGATAGTGTCATGAAAACAGCAAATATGAGCTTGGACAGATTTCAGGAGATAGTGGAGGATAGAAGGGCCTGCATGCTCTAATAGTCCATGGGGTCAACTCTGCATGAAGAGTTGGACACAACTGAACAACAACAAAGGTCCTTTCTAGCTATAAATCTGTGATGTTCTTATGTCCAAAATAGAACTCATTAGCTCCTCCTCTCAGCCCACACCTCTTCCAAATGTTAGAGACATCACCATTTTAACCCAGAGTTACATCACTGTCATCCTTAATTTTCCACTCATCTCACCTATGAAAGCAGTTGTCAGATGTATCCTTTCTTCCTTCACATCATCTTATTTATGTCTGCTTCTCTCCACTCACATAACCACCACCCTAATTCAGGTCCCTATCACTTCTCCCTAGACTATTTCAATGATCTCCTTATTGACCTCTTTACCTTACATTTTTTTTCCCATTCTAATGAATCCTCCACACTCCTAAAGTGATTTTACTTAAGTGCCCTGCTGACCACTCCTTTTCTCAGTAATCTCCAGTGAGTCCCTGTTCTAGGATGAAATATAAGCTCTCTGTTTGGCATTTAAAGAAAGCTCTTAAGAAACTGGTTTCATTCTCCATTTCTAGCCTTATTATACATTACTCCTCTTTATATATTATCTTCCAGGCCAGATAAACTGGCCTTACTGTTCCTCATACTTTTTTTTTCCTTTTTCTATTCCTATGCTTTAAATTGGCTGTCCCCCAAATCTTGAATTTATTCCCTCTTCACCTTTACCTCATAAAATCCCTAATTTCCTACAAGTCTTCCTTCAAGCATTATCTTCTAAGTCAGACATTTCCTTATATCCCTCTTGACCTCTTCCTGACTTATAGGCTTCAAAACCATGTTTTTGCAGCTGTCTCATCCTGGAGCTCCCCTCAATACCTGCAGCCTCCTAGCTTTGGCATATCCAACCACCCCTTTGGCCTTTTCAAACTGAAATATCCCTCTGCAAGACCCATGTCCTTCTCCCATTGGTGAATTCCTTTTGGGGTCTCCATTTTGTGGAGGGGCCAAAGCCAGCCTTCTTTCTCCTGGCCTTGTTCTAGAATTCTGGACTTAAACACCATGGCCTTCGTGTTCGGTACCCTCCTCTTCTTCCTCTCATCCCCTTTTCAGTTCCCTTTTGTGTGTTTTCTTCCCCCATTAGAATGTAAGCTCCTTTAGGGCAATGATTGTCTTATTGCTTATATATGTATCCCTAGTGCTTAGCACAGTGTCTGGTACATAAGAAGTGCTTAATCATTCTTTGTTTTCTTGCTTCCTTTTTTCCCTATCTGTGGGTATTGGATATGGCTGTGTCCTGGACCCTCTTATCTCTTCTTTCTTCTCTCATAGTGATCTCCTCAATTCTCATGGCTTCATTCGTCCCCTTTATGGAAATGATTCCCAGATCTATATGTATAGCCCCAGTCTTTCTCCTGAACCCCATTCCCATATCACCAGCTGCCTGTTGGTCATCTCCGAATAATTGTTCCATAAGCAACTCAAACTCACCATGTCCAAAACTGAACTCAAAATCTTTTCTCCAAAACTGTCTCCTCTTGCTAAGCTCTCCATTTCTGTTGAATACATCATCATCCTTCAAATAACACAGATTTGTACCCCAGGAAGAATCTCATTATCCCGATGCCATTGTAATTTAGACTCTGCTGTCTGAGAACCTCCCAGACCAGTGGGCCTGCCTCTAGCCCCGTCACTGCAGCCATCAGCAGGGGAAGCAACTCCTGTAAATGGGACCTCTCTAACAGTTGAGGTATTTTTTATTGTTGTTGTTGTTGTTGTTTCTGATATGCCAGCCATCCCCACCAATTGCCTACTAAGCTGGCAAACCAGCTTAGCTGAAGCTTCAAGGCACACTGAGGAAGAGATTGGAGTCAGCTTGTGCCAGGCAAGTCAAACCACTGCCACCACTTTGACCACCACCTCCCCTCAGACCCAGAACCTAAGAGCCACAAGGATAGCAATGTCTATTTCAGCACTTCTAGTCTGGACTCCTCTCATTTAGGGGAGCAATTGCTGTGGGAAAGGGGCCTCTCAGCCCTGCCAGTACTAGCCACTAACCCAACTGCTGCCAAAACACAAGTGAGCCCGAGTGCCCTGGGAGTAGCAGCACCGCTCAGACCAGTGGCTTCAAGCTCAGTCTTTGCAGCCATCAGCAGGGGAAGCAACCCCTGTGCAGATGGGGCCTAGCGACTGCTTCTGCGGTCGCTGCAGCCCCAACTTCCTCAGCAGCTACAACAGCTGAAGATCAGTTCTTGAGACCAGCGGTCTTGGCACTCAATCAGAAACTGATAAGAGTCTGTCACTGGAAATGACATCAAAGAAGATGCATTATTATCTGCTTTTCTGCTGCATTGTAAGAACCATGAATTTTTCTGTCTTACTTGTGACTTAAACTTTTATGTGTTGTCTCCCAATTTAGAATGTGAGTTCCTTGAGAGCGGGGATTGTCTTGCTTTTTTATTTGTATCCCCAGCATTTAGCATCGTGCTTTGCACATAGAAAGCACTTAATAGAATGCTCATTTATTTATTTATCTTGTCTGAAACCAAGTCACTCCCCAGTCATTTTGCCCATTAGCATATCCTACCTCCCCCCCCCCCCCCCCCTTTTCCCCCTTAGAATGTAATCCCCTCAAGGTTAGGGACTGTTAGCCTGTCACTTTGTAAGTGCCTTTTTTTTTTTCACTCATTCTTCCTTAACTCTTTCCTTTCCAGTACTTCTTACATTGACTCAGTTGTTAATTTTTGTTTATTTTGCCCACATGTCATCTCTTTTATTGATCACCTTCTCTCTACTCATCACCACTTGGATTATTACAGTAATTTCCTAATATAGCCTTCTCTCCTTCAGATCTCTCCCCTCTGCAATCAGCCTTTGACTCTGGCTACCTCATTCCCCTTCTCATGGAGGTGGAGTTGTTTCTCTTTTGTCTAGGATAAAATACAAATTCTTCTGTCATTTGAAGCCCTCCATCGTCTAGCTCCAGCCTACCTTTCCAGACTTACTGCATGTTACTCTCCTTCACGTGTTATTTTCTAGGCGAACTCACACTGCTCCCTTATAGGATATTTCATCTTCTAGCTCTGTGTCTTTGTATAGACTGTCCCCCGTTCTTGGGATGTACCCCCCTCCTCTACTCACATTTACCTCATGTGATTACTAGCTTCCTTCGAAACTCAGCTTGAGTGCCTTACAAGTGCCTTCTCCTCCAGAATAACAGCAACAATAACAATAGCTAGTGATTCTGTTGTTCATTAAGGTAGGTGCTATTATTATCCCCATTTGCTTTCATTATTCCCATTTTACAGATGAAGAAACTAAGGCTGAGAAAGGTTGAATAACTCGCCCATAATCACACAGCTAAGTAAGTATATAAGGCAGGATTTTAACTCGGGTCTGGGCCACTTAGCAGACTGTATTTAATTTTTTTTGTATATATTTTTCCTTCCAATAGAATATAAGTTCCTTAAGGGTGAAAGCTATTTCATCTTTGCCTTTGTATCACCAGTGCCTCGCATGGTGCTTGGCACGTAATAGGCTCTTAATAAATGCTTTTTGAATTAAATTGAAATGTTACAATGATCTCTTTTTGTGTGGCAGTGAATCTTACTAAGTGAACTATGTAGTGTTTGAGGCTTGATAGAGTTATAGAAGCACAGTGTCATCTTCCATTTGAAGATGATAATTTGCATATGATAATTTTATTTTTTAGCACTAAGGGATCAAATTTAATATCAGTCAATAAGAAATCCTTTCTGTGGAGCCTCAAAAATGCTTTTGGATGTGAGGGTGACCATTTAAAATTTTTGTCTCATGGGGTAGCTAGGTGGCGCAGTGGATAGAGCACCGGCCCTGAAGTCAAGAGGACCTGAGTTCAAATCCGGCCTCAGACCAAACACTTGACACTTACTAGCTGTGTGACCCTGGGCAAGTCACTTAACCCCAATTGTCTTAAAAAAAAATTATCTCATTTTAATAGAAAAAGAGTAGGCCTTTTTTCACATTTGCGTTGTCTGTTTCATTCTTTTATCTCTTCTTCTTGTTTTGTAGGGAGGTGCAGAAAGCAGTCAATACTGCTCAAGGATTATTCCAAAGATGGACAGAACTCCTCCAGGATCCTTCTGCAGCAACAAGAGAAGAAGTTGATTGGACCACCAATGAGCTCAGAAATAACTTGCGCAGCATAGAATGGGACCTAGAAGATCTGGATGAAACTATCAATATCCTTTAATATCTTTTACTAGTGATTTGCCAATACATAAATCTTTCTCTAATCATTTTCTTAAGTATGTAATGTGATTTCCTTCCGCTTCCCATGATTTACTGTTGCTTTGGATCATAGTACAATCAAAAATGATTGACAGGTGAGCTAAGTAGTTAGTAGTAGTCACATTCATTTACTGTAAATGAAGAACTCATCACAGTTAAACAATCCAAAAATAATTCTTCATTTTCCTTTATTTTCCTCTTCATTTTCCATCTATTACTATGAACAAAATCCACTAGGGAGAGAAATCCCGTATTACTCTGTGACAACTAATACATTTAACTTTTTTTTCTTTTTTCTTTTTTTTTTTTAGGCAATTGGGGTTAAGTGACTTGCCCAGGGTCACACAGCTAGTAAGTGTTATGTGTCTGAGGCCAGATTTGAACTCAGGTACTCCTGATTTCAGGGCCAGTGCTCTATCCACTGGGCCACCTAACTGCCCCTACATTTAACTTTTTAAAATAACATAGCATATGGTTTGGCAGTACAATGATTTAAAAATACAGATGATGTCTGCTTTAAATCCTATGCCCTTAACCAATTTTTACAATAAATACTCCCCATTCATTTCTTATAACAGTAATATCAGTGGCAATCCTAGCATGCTTTGAGGGTTTTTGACCAGGAGAGTAGTGTGAACAGAACTGCCCTTTAGGAATATTTATCTGACTCTTTTATATTGAAAGCTGGAATAACTGTAGGTGGAAAGACAGACTCTCAGAATAGTATAGGTGAGAGGTAAAGAAACTGCATAAACTAGGGTGCTGTTATTTGGAGTAGAAAGAAGACAGATTCAAGAGACTTTAGCTTAGGTAGAATTGGCTAGATTTGGTGACTGATGGTATGTAGGAAAGTGAAGGCATATGAACAGTGCCAAGACTTCAAGCGTGGTGCCTTCTAGAATGAATGGTGGTGCCATTAACCACCTTCCTCAGTAGAATAGTCAGGAGGAAGAACTGGTTTGGGGAAAGCACAGGGAGAAGAGAGAAGAGGAGCTAATTTGGGTAATGTTGAGGCAGAAGCAGCCAAACTGGGTGAGATGGGAAGCTGCAGCTGCAAACACAGGGCTGAATTTTTGGACATTGTTGAGTTTTAAGGCATTTAAAGAGAGAAAACGATTAAAGCCACAGGAAGGGATGAGATTATAAAAGGGTAAAGGGTAAAGGGTAAAGAGAGAAGACATTTGAGGAGAAATCTTTGGAGAATGTCTATACTTAGGAGTAGGGGAGGAAAAGACCCAGAAAAGAAAGTGAGAAGATGTAGTCTCCTACAGGAGAAGAGTCACTATAGTGAAGCATCATACATGCCAAAGAAGGAGAAAGAATCAAGAAGAGAGGGGGTGGTAGGCAATAGTGGCATGGCTTAGAAAGGGTACATCCCTTTTTCTCCATGAACATAGTCCCCATCATGGTGCATGCCCTCATCACCTTACACCTGGACTGTTTGCAGTACTTTTCTGATTAACCTCCCTGCCTCAAGTCCCTTCCCACTCTATTTAGTCTTTCACTCCTCTGCCAAAGGGATTTTCCTAAAGTGCAAGTATGAGAGTATTACTCCTCTACTCAGTAAACTCCAGTGGCCTCCTGTTACCTTCAGGATCAAATAGTCTTTTATTTGCTTTTCACAGCCTTTCACAACCTGGCCCATTGCCACCTTTCCAGTCTTACATTTTACTCCCAGTTCATACTCTACCACTTAGTAACACTGGCCTTTTTGCTGTTCCTTAAGCACAGTATTCCATCTCTGGACTCTACGTTTTCGCTGGTTGTCCTCTCTCTGCCTAGAATGCTTTTCCTCCTCATCTTTACCTCCTGGCTTCCCAGGCATCCTTCAAGACTCAGTTCAAATACCACCTTCTGAAAGAGAACTTTCCTGGTTCCCACCACTATTAGTGCCTTTCCTTTGAGACTACTTCCTATTTATACTGTTTATATCTTGTATGGACATAGTTGTGTTTGTGATCTCTCCCCCATTTGAATGTGGGCTCCTTGAGGGCAGGGGACATGTTTTTGCTTTTCTTCGTATACTTAGCCCTTAGCACAAGGCTTGGCACATAGTAAATGCTTAATAAATGTTGCCGGGAAAAATATCAACAATCTCAGATGAGAAGATGATACCACTGTAATCCAGAAAATGAAGAGGAATTAAGACGCCTCTTAATGAGGGTGAAAAAGGAGAGTGTAAAAGCTGGCTTGAAGCTTAACGTCAAAAGAACTAAGATCTTGGCAACTGATCCCATCTCTTCCTGGCAAATAGAGGGAGAAGTGGAAGCTGTGTCAGATTTTATATTCTTGGGCTCAAAGATAACTGCAGGTGGTGACTACAGTCATGAAATTAAAAGACACTTGCCCCTTAGAAGGAAAGCTATGGGAAATCTGGACAGTATACTGAAAAGCCAAGACCTTACCTTGCCAGCAAAAGTCCGTATAATCAAAGCTATGGTTTTTCCAGTAGCAATGTGTACTTTTGAGAGTTGGACTATAAGATAAGCTGAGCTCTGCAGAATCGGTGCTTTCAAATTGTGGTGCTGGAGAAGACTTTTGAGAGTCCCTTGGACAGCAAAGACAAGACTCATTGGAAAAGACTCTGATGTTGGAAAAGACTGAATACAAAAGAAGAAGAGGATGGCAGAGAATGAGATGGATAGAGAGTGTCATGGAAACAGCGAACATGAACTTGGACAGACTTCAAGAGATAGTGGAGGATAGAAGGGCCTGGTGTGCTGTGGTCCATGGGGTCATGAAGAGTAGGCTATGACTGAACAGCAACAACAAAATAAATCTTTATTGACTGATTTATAACGACCTGGAAAAGGTAATTAAATTTAGGGATTAGGAAGTCATTGGTGATCTTTTAGAGGGCAATTTCAGTAGAACACAGAATGAATGGTAAAAGTAGAAGCTCTTTAGGGGGAGTGAGTGGTAGACAGAAAGGAAATAATAGAAATGGGTAATAGCTTCGGTTTCTTCTTATTCTGTTCCCCTCCACTAGCATATTTGTAGCCTCAAGGGAAGCAGAGTAAGAAATTAAAAATGTGAGTTATAAATTCTAATTGATGGATCAGAGTTCCAAAGGCAGAGGTAAATGAGTTCTTGGAAGGAAGGACATTTGATGATAGATTTGAAAGGTAGAGAAGAGAGAAATTGAGGGTGCCTATTTTAAGATGGTTTTAATCTCAGTAAATGATAAGGCAAGATCACTTGCTAAGGAAAAGGGGACAAAAATCACTAAAAATTTAGCTTATTTTTTAAAGTTGGAGAGAGTAGAGGTAAGATTGGGAGCTTGGGTGTAGAAAAGATTTGAACGGTTGTTAGGAGTAAGCAAAGGTTAAATAAAACAGTTGCTAAGCAGTTGTGATACCCATATAGAGTTTAAGAAGGGGCTACATCTAGATAACACTTTCCTTCCTGCTCTGTGATGTGGAGTAGTACAAACATTATCTCTACTTTATAGGTAAGGAAAATGATGAGAAAATTTGGTTCAGCTATGTGAACCCAGTTAATGTATGGAACCCATTCCACACAGTTGATTCACTTTTTTTCTAGCAAAGCTTAGGAGAAAAATTAGGTGGTGGAGTTAGCTAGTATTTGCTTTTGGTAAGGTGGGTAGAATGAAAATTCAGAAGCCAAGGGATGCTGGGATACCAGGATGCCAATGAGATCATTGCTTGTAATGGCAGCTCAAAGGGGCCAAGCTAGGCAGTGAAATCAAAAGCAGTGCTAAGTTGGAGAATCAATTAGCTCTGGACATCTAGACCAAAGTGAAAAGTTTAGTAATAGAGAGTGAATGAGGGAGTAAAGAAGATACATATTTGAAGAAGGGAATGAAAGAAACTAAAAATCACCTTAATTTCTATCTTCTACCTATTTAATGTAACAGGTGGCTATTTGGCCAAATTACATAATGTTAAAAGATGCCACAGGTAATTTTGATGCTTATTTCGTCAGTAGGAGGCTATAGTATCTTGACATCCTCATTTAAAAAATTTGACTCAACATATACTTCCCAGCAAGTGCTCCTACAGTGTCCATTCCTTTGCAAAGCTGGTTTTAAAAATTGTTCATGCAAAGGATGTGGCCTTTAATTTTGACATTGTGCCAACATCGACTTATTTGTTTGACCAGAATTTTGTTGACTCGCATTGTTGACTTTATTTACATTGTTGTAGAAGGTATATGTTGTTCCTTTGGTTCTGCTGTTTAGTCTGTAACACTTCATATATGTCTTCTCCTATTTCTCAGATTTTTTTTATGTTCTAGATTCATTGTTTCTTAAATTTAGAGGCTCTTGGAATACCAAACAGAGGCCTTGGAGACCAACCACTTTTAGCCAAATTCTGTACCATCACTTTCCATTTTAGTCATGAAATGAGCTTTCTAAGCGCTCTCCTCTTTTTTAAGGGGTTTAGGAATTCTTACTTGGGTTGTGGACATGAAAAGTTTAAAAATCACTGTTAAAGATTGATTATATTTCAAGAAATTTGAGCTTAATTCCACTGAATTTATATTACTATTCACATGAGAGATTACTTACGTTAAATAAGATGTTGAGTTTGTGTGGAGTTTTGATGACAGTTAAGTTACTTTATCTTGACTGCTGACCTACGCATAGTTGAAGCAAATCCTCGAAAATTCAACCTTGATGCAACTGAACTGGGTGTAAGAAAAGCCTTCATTACAAGCACACGGCAAGTTGTCAGGGTAAGGAACACGATCTTGTTCTTTTGTGTTGGAAACAGGTAATATCTTGAATACCTTTCTCTTTGACAAAAGCTAATAGTTCTAGATCTGAGATCACCTTTCTTTTTGAACCAGATTACTTAACAAATGCCAGTTTTCCAAATATATTTCTTTGCAGAAAGGCATCTGTTTTTGGTGTAGTCAGATTTGTCTCATGGACCAGAGAAAAGACTATAGCTAATGATCTATCTGCTAGCTATGGAAAATCTTCTTTAAAGGAATCTTTTTCTTTCCTTTCTCTTTTGTGTCTCCTGCTTTCCAGAACAATGGAAATGTGGATTGTGGAAACCACAGTTGTTTTCTGGGTTGAGTGAAAAATCGCTTTAGTATTGTTGAAGACTAACTGGTATTCTTTTTTAATGGCAGCTTTTTCCTCTGGCTAAATTACTTTTAGGAATCCATGTTGATGTCATTTGCATTTGCAACTACAGGTCATCATTTAGGGAGCAGTTATTTTAGTACAGTAGTCAATAGGGAGAGTAAAACAATGAACCAACAGAATTGTTTAGTCCATACTTCCTAATTTGGGTAACACTGAAGGACCTAATGGTAAATATTATTTTTAAATGGTCCAGTGATTACTAGCCATATGCTTTCATATTTAAAGTAAAGCTATAGTAGTTTACACAACTTGTTAGGGGAAAAACTATGATTAAATATGTTCTAGAAAGCTTTCCCTTGAAAATAATTTAGGATCATTTCAGGGCTTCTGAATGTGACATAGTCATTCTGGGCAAGCAGCTGACAGTTGACTTTTTTGGTGGAAAATGGTCAGAACCATGCAATTTAAATGGTGAATAGGTTCTCCTTTTACTGTCAACTTATAGTGATGATTATTGCTAAAATTTTAAATATTCAGAATAGTGGTATAGTTGGCTTTACAATAAGTTGGTCCTACATTCCTGAAATGAAATAAGTCATATTCTTTTTCAAATGGAGTATAGGTAGAAAGAAGATTGAACTAAGAGTCAAGAGGTAGAGCATATAGTCCCTATTTTGTTATGGTATAACTTAAGGCCAGCTAAATCACTCCTTGGAGCCTTGGTGTCTTCATCTGTAAAACGGGGTGTGGGGGGGATTTAAAGACTAAAGATACTTTTCAATTCTAAAATTCTATTAACTTATTTAATGTTTTTCAGTAATCAAAACAACCCTTCATAAAGCAGATAATCCCAGTTTTTTGTTATGAATTTGATTATATTACATTGTCTTAATGCAAGGCATACTTTTGTATAGGAGTTACTATTTCAGTGGCACATCTCTGAGAAAATCCATGGCTACACAAAGCTAATCTTAACTATTTTATGTGGTAGTTGAATAGACAAGTCAGGATTTATAGGTAAATTTGATTGTCTAAAGTCAATTTGGTGTTATAATTAGAAATATTTATTTTCTGACTTCCTGCCTGCCTTTAGGAAAAACCTTATCTTTACATTATTTCAAAGGAAAAGGTCTTTTTACTCAAATCAGAATTTCAAAATATTAGCATCCTCATGTGAACCGAGATCTAAATTTCATGCAAATGTAATACTAAATTGTATTATTTTTTGTAGCGTGTCATTAACATTTTTGAGGCTTCTGTCCAATTCAGATTTGTGGATGTCATTCATAAGGAGGCAGCATGGTATAGAGCAGCACCTTTGGAAACAAAAGTACTAGCTCTTCACTTACAACCCGTGTGACTTGGGGCAAGTCACTTTGCTGCTGTCTTTCAGTTTTCTCATTTATAAAATTGATGGAATTAGTTTAGATAGTCACTAAGGCCTTTTTCACTTTCATATTCTGTGATTCCACAATTTCTCAAAGATCTGACATGTGGAATTATGCATGTTGATAATAGAAATATCACCTTTACCTATTTGTCAGTGACTTGTTTAAGTTGGTAAGGAAAGGTTTTGCAGTGTGGTGTGTAGTAGAAAGATGTCAGGGCTAGGAGTCAAGCAGCTTAGGTCTTGACTTTCCTGGCTTTGCCATAACTAGCCCTGTGATGTTGGGAAAGTCTTTGAAGCTCTGTGAGTCTCATTGTCCTCATCTGTATAAATGAGAGGGGGCTGTGCTTGCTCATCTCTGGGACCCTCTCCAGCTGTGATATTGTCTGACTCTAAGCATGTCTATCTCATAGAGAGATTTAGTGTTACTGCTGGAAAACCTTGGGTTAACCCAGGAATTATTTTGTCAAGGTATGCTGCATTGTAATTATACAAAAGACTTTTTAAGTTTGGGCCTTATAAACACTGGGTGTTACCAGTCAGGCAATGCAAAGTATTTATCTTAATGGTGACTTACTTGTACTAGTATATCTTAACAGTTATAGTAGATCATCATGGTGTAAACCCCAGTATCATTTATCAATGTGTTTGTTATTCTTTTGGGCAGAGGAAATCACATTTTCTGTTGGGGTTGACAATTTCTTTATTGTTAGTTGTAAACTTTGTAGTTAAAAAAAAGAGAGAGAGATAAATGATTGTAGATCAAAGCTGAAATTTTTCACATAGATCCAAAAAAGACATGTTGGTTTTAGAATATGTGGTGACATTGTTTTTAATTCCAACCTTCATATTTTGGTGAAACAAAGACTTGGTAGCTGAGCTTTAAAGGAAGCTAGGGACTCTTGTGAGGCAAAGGTAAGAAGGCAGCGTATTCTAGATATGTGGGACCATTTGTGTGAAAGCATGTAGACTGAAAGTGGAATGTCATGTGTGGGGTGCAGCCAGTAGGCTAATTTGACTAAATCAGGGCATAAAAAAGAATAAAATTCAACCAGACTAGAAAGGTATGGTGGAAGCCATATTGGGAAGATTTGAATCCCTAGGTGAGGGATTCAGAGGCAGTAGGGAGCCTAAAAGCAATAGGGAGCCATCGAAGAATTCTGAGAAGGGGAACAAATATGTACAAAGAAAAAATATTTTAATATTTTAGGTAGGTAGACTTTGCCTATGTTTGAATGGTGTATTAACTCTGCTGCATAGAAAATCACCCCATTCCCCACTCTGGAGAGGAGAGGTACTAAGTCTTTGTAAAATGGCTCTAAGAGCCAGCTACATAAAGTTGATTTAACAGTAAAGTGACTTATGCTTCCACAATTAGTACACAGCTTTGGATATTCTTAGTGGCAAATGTCATACTTAATGTGTTTTCAGCATATATTTTATTTGTAAAGGTTGTCCAGATAGCAAGATGTGATAATTTTTTAAACTTCTTAACCAAGTTCTCTCTTTTTAAGGAATTGCTTTCTCCATGTATTTATAAAGCAGTAGTTTAAAAGCTAGGTATATTCATATTTTTTGTTTTGAAAGGCAAGTAGGCTTCTTCTATTGGTGAAAAAAATTGTGAATGACCTAGATATTGGACCATAATTTTTAGTTGGAGCTAATAAATTTTTCTTTTTTTGTCCCCTTTTTATATCCTGTTCACTACACAGGAAATGAAGGACCAGATGTCAAGTTCATCCGTTCAGGCATTAGCTGAAAGAAAAAATAGACAGGTAAGAAAAAGATTATATGTCATATCCAAAAGTAGCCCAAGGTAGGTGAAATTTAGGTATTCTAAGTCAGTACCTGCTGACTTAATGCAGCTTTTAATGTTTTCTGAGAGTAGATGAATATGTGCAAACTAATAATGTAGTAACTCCTAGAATTCGCTGAAAGTTTTACAATCAGACTTTTCCCTTATATTTTGCTATTAAAAATTTTATGAGGTTTTGATATACTTGTGTTAAATGAAATGGTCTTCCCCATTAAGCACCATAATAAAATAGGCATTTTGTACTTCTCATCCACTCCTTGGAAAAATGGGGGGATTCAGGCAACATGTTAGTTTGCTGAACTGCTTCCCAACCCCCCCCCACACACATATACACACACTTTTTGTTGTAACAAAACCACACACACGTTATTTTTTTGTTGTCATATGTGACACGTGTATACACACACTTTCCACCCCACTTGCTAGGTGGAATGGGAGGTATGAGGTGGGTGAGGTAGGGTGGCAAATTCTTAAATGAAGAAGATGAAAAAGCAAAAGATATTAATACAAATGAAAAGTTAAACTAAAGTAAATGTTTTGGTATATAGAAGGGAGAACCTTTTTCTAACTCCAGCAAGAATATGGTGCCCTTTCATATTCTTTCAGTATATGAGAGGTGTACTTTGGGGTTAATTTTTTGGGGCAGGGTTATATTCTGTTACTGCTATCCCATTAATTATACTGTTTTTATTTCTATAAATTTTAGGTAATACTTTATTTTGCCTAGGACCAGGAACTACAAATATTAGTGACAAGATATCATTTGATTTAAATGACTTGCCATAAATCTATCATAAAAGGTTATTTCAAAGTAAAATAGTCCTTATGGCAGCTTCTTGATTCTCAAAAGGGTTATTTGAGTCAAATTGGCTCATTAGCCTAGTTTATGTAATAGAGTTAGGTATCAAATCCTTGCAAAATTGTAACTTATAGGTTACTCGTACTATAGTTCGTAAGAACTTGTAGGTTCCTTCTATTTTGAAAAAGCTAATATTATACCTTAGTGAGAGGAGATGTTAACCTTTTCAGAACAGTCATTTAAATTTTTAATTTAATTCATTTGTTTTGCAGTCCAAAAATCTATTTTTCAAGATAGTTATTATTCTTCCTCTCTACCTTAACATGCCCCAGTTTTTCCCTTAAACTCTGGAGCAGCTCTTGAAGCCAGTGAATAGCCATAGCTAGGCTATTTTTGGAGTTCCTCTTTCATTTTGTTTTTCATTTCAGTCTCATTTTAGAGGAAGTTGAATAACAATACCTGAAACAGTTGTGATGGTGGTAGGCCACATATATATCCTCATAATTTTATTTTATTTAAGTTTTGCCTTAATTCAGTAACTTTTTTTTTTACAAGGTTTTGGTATTCATTAAAGGAGTTATTGTTAGCTTTTAGAGCAATAGGGAAAAATCTGAATCTTCACCATTGTACAGGGTGTATTTTCTTTAGCTCATCTCTGAGCCATCAAAAGCTTGTAGCTCTGTAGTCTTGCTTCAGGGAATTGAAAAAGAATAACATTACATATTTTTAAAAAGATAAACTGTCTCTCCATGTTTTTGAGACCTGATCAGTGCAGGACTATATTTTACCTGATAATGTGTATTTGTTCCAAGCGTTTTGTTTTTCTTTTCCTTTTCCAATGGTGGGGGGGAGGGGAGAGAAAATCAACTTGTTAAATAGTTGATAAATAAAATTAATTTGGAAAATATTAATTTAAAAAGATAAGCTGTCCCTAGAAAACAAAAGGTAAATAAAATGGTGTGTATGTAAGTTACCTTTCTTAGCATTCATTGACAGTTTGTTAAGGCATCTGGTTCTCTTTTTCTGTCAACTTTGAGAGAAAAGTGTGGGGCCAAGGTTGGTTCTAAAAATATTGGTAAGTACCTTTAGTCCTTGCCCTGTCATCAGTGTGCTTTTTTTCTACCTCCTCTCTCTTTTTCCATTTTCATCTTCACCCCTCAAGTGGCTGTAATCAAGGGCTCTTCCCTGGTTTTGGTACCCCTTTCAAGGCCTACCTTACCATGGATCTATTTTTTTCATTCTATTTCCTATAAAAATTTGTCCTGAGAGCTATCACATTCATATAATCTGACAAATTAATTCACACTGAAGAATTAATTACTAGTAATGATTACATACCCCATCCAAGTGATGTCATGAAAAAACTAGAATGAATCCCAAAAGACCCCCGTCATCAGAGAGCATGAGTCCTCCACCCACCAGAGACCCAACAGTCCTATCTACAATCCCTATCTCCTCCTTCCCACCCCCAGCCATGTGGAAGCTGGTTCCTAAGCACTGTAACCCTTCAACCCCTTTCAATCAGACTTTTTATCTTAAAAGTTCCTTACATCCTAGTAAAAGGAATTATTTGAAAAGAAATGGGCAGATTCAACTTAGGTTCAACTTTTGTTCTTTTTGTTGTTCTTTTAATGAGTTTCCTGTCCAGGAAAAAGATTATTTGATTATCAGATAGATTACTTGATAGCCCTGCCATGCTCAGAGCCCTCTTAGGTTGTGGCCCTTCCTTATGACCAGGAACTTGGAACTTGGTACTGTGGAACTCTTGCCTAGTTTCCCCTGTATCCTTAGCTTTCCTTGAACTTCAGGCCCTTGATACCAAAACTCTCCTAGTTATTAGCCTCCATGAATTCTGGCCGCCTGACTGTCCATTTGGCTTGGACATTATACTTTTCCAACCTATATCTTACTAATTCTCTCTGCTAATCAACAAATATGGACTTGGCTCCAAAATTCTCCTCGAAAATTTCAGCATATGTGTGGAATAATGAAGTACTTATTGCAGAAAATCAGGTCCTCCAGACAGAACTGGTCCAAAATTGCAACCTCTTGCAGATGTATCTGATCTGGGCCTACTTTAACAGTACTTGTGATTCTGCGTTTTTTTAGAGTCATGAGTTGGTGAGTTCCCACAGAAGTTTGGAAGAGACCTAGTAATGTGCCTTAGCTTTAGATCAAAGGGTTTTCCCAGTGATTAGATTTAAATGTGCTTTGTATTAAGTAACTTTTTGGGCCACCACTGGTATATTATGGAGTTAAGTACCTGCTTATATTACTGCCTACCTTCCTTGATTAATTCAGTCAAGGCTTTATCAGTATCCTTCCAGAAAAAACCGGCTAATCAGAAGATTCAGTGGCTATGTTATTAGAATGGGCTGATCGATTATGCCATCTTCTGAATCTTCCTCTTCCCTATTACGAAATGAGCTAGCACATATAGAACAGTTCTAAGAAGACATGGAAGAGTCCATCCATAATGAACAGGCTCCATTTGAATTGTGGTGGCCTTAATCCCTCTTTAAAGCTAAGCTGTTCAAGTGCCCCAGGCCCTAATGACTACAGTGCTGCCCTGTTAGTCCATAATCAAGGTGCTTGAATCCTCCAGGTACCGTAATAAATAACTTCATCTAACATTGGTGAGAAATGCCCAGGGTCAGCTATCCAACCTTGGCTTGCATGTGGTGTACTTTGTGTAATCTTGTCCCAAACCATAATTTTATACTGACTGAAATGCACTATAATTTGGCAAAATTGTGTTCCAGCATCATTGTTTGGATGATTGGCTGTTTTAACATTGCTCCTATGAAATCAGTGTCCCCATCCCATAATAATTTCACTTGATATCAAGTGTTTATGGAACTGATTCCCTGTGATAGGCAAGGGATTTCCATTCTGTAGGGATCCCAGTATAAGCACTTGCCTGGAGAGAAGGGACCCACAATTGTCAAATTTTACTGTAAGTTCAGCCATTCATACATAGCTGTATTAGTCCCTTGTTTTATACCTTCCATGCCTAGTTCTGATGTGCCTAGTGGTAGTGTTATGAGATTACGTTTTTGTATCTCAAAAAGAAATTCTGGTAACAACTGAAAACAAACATTCTGGTGACTTCCCATACTAGTCTGGTCATGGTTGAAACTATTGATAGATGTTCCTAAATGGACAGTTGTCCTCTGAACTGAACAGGCATTTGCATTTTAACAGTGGATGATGCCCAGAAGGGGTCAGGGCCAAGATGACAGAGTAGAAGAAAGCTGAGTTAGCTCCCATCCACAACTCCTTCAGAGCTATAAAATACAGCAGACTGAATACTGATGGAGAAAGCTGGAAAAAGTCACAGTGAGTGCTTTGCCTGGCCCAGGTTGGCAGAGGGAGACAAGACAAAAACGTCTGCAGACACTGAGGACAATCACGGCATTAGCACATGGCCTGAGGAGCATCCTGCCACTTGGGGAGAGGTTGCACACCTCCACAAAAGGAGGTCCTGGACTCCTACTGGGGCACCCCCAGGCCCAGACCAGTGCACTGCTGTGGAGACAAGTACCAAGTGGCAGCTTTGCTGCCCACTATCCAGGCCTGGATTGAATAAGAAGGGGGCCTGTTAAAGCAGTAGCTTTCCCCAGTAGGAAGGCTCTAGGCGGTGTACCGAGAAAGTAAGTCTAGAAGTCAGCAGCAGCATTGTTGTGGCTCAGAGCAGGGTCTCACCTCCAGCATCTGGCCCAACCTTCAGAGAAATAACCAGGGCAGGAAACTCAGACCAAAGGGTAGCCCATAGTTCTTCCACTGTGAACCAGCAGAGCTTTACCCAGGTCAGGAACTTGCAGGGCTCAGACCAAGGGAGTAGCAATCAGACTTTGCCTTCAATCAGACCTTTTTGGGAGTATTGATGACTTTTAAATCCAAGCCTGTCCCTGAGATCCTAGAATAATATAACACTCAATAACCCAAGAAAACAGCAACAAGACCAGCATGGGCCATCCCTCCAGAAGTGTGGCAGAGCCCAGCCCTAACATCAAATCTAAAGTCAAGAATGAGCAAACACAAAAAGGAACCTACCATAATGAGCTGTTGTTGGTGGCAGGGATGCTCAAGACACAAACGCAGAAAAGAATGACTCCAAAACATCTACAGACAGTGCCTCAGAGAAAAACACATCTTGGACCTGAAGACACAGTAGAATTCTTAGAAGAGATGAAGCAAGAGTTAAATAAGAGAGACAGAGAGAGAGAGATAGTTTTTGTAAATGGAATGAAAGTGCTTTAGGAAAAAAATTGAGAAGAAAGAGAGCTATGGAAGAAAGAATTGGAAAAGAATTAACAGTAACAAGAGTTACTTTTCCAGGCAGCAAACTCCCTGAAAATTCGGATGGGCCAAATAGAAGCTATGATTTCATGAAGCATCAAGAAATATTGAAACTAAATCAAAAGGCTGAGAAAATATAGTGTCTCTAATAGCAAAAACAAATGACCTGGAAAACAGGTCAAGGAAAAAAAAATTAAGCATCACTAGACTAAGTGAAGGCAGCTAGGAGAGCAGTGGGTAGAGTGTCAGACCTGTAGTCAGGAAGATTCCTTTTCCTGAGTTCAAATCTGGCCTCAGATGCTAACTTGTGACCCTGGGCAAGTCACTAACCCTGTTTGCCTCAGTTTCCTCATCTGTAAAAGGAATTGGAGAAAGAAATGACAAATCACTCCAGTATCTTTTCCAAGAAAACACCAGAGTCATGAAGAGTCAGACATGACTAAAAAACAACTGAACAACAACTAAGACTACATGAACTCTAGGTCGTCTTATTTCAAGAAATCTTAAAAGAAAACTTCCCATATCTCTTAGATTCAGAAGGTAAAATGGAAGTAGAATCTACCAGTCACCTCCTACAAGAAACCTGCAAATGAAAACTCGAGGGAACATCACAGCCAAAATCCAGAGCTTCCAGGTCAAAGAAAAAAAAAATCTACACAAAGCCAGAAGGGAAGAATTCAAGGACCAAGCAGCCAGAATAAGAATCACACATGATTTAGCAGCTACCACTATAAAGCAGCAAACTTGGAATACAGTATTCCAGAAGGTAAAGAATATGGGCTAACAACCGAGAGTGACTTAACCAACAAAACTGAGTGTGATATTAAGGGGGGGGGGGGGTGGCTCTTTAATGAAATAGAAGACTTCCAAGGATTCCTGATGAAAAGACCACTGCTTCAGAGACACTTTAAAATTCAAACACAGCAATGAAGAAAAGCGTTGAAAAAGAAAATGCTAATGAATAATAATATAATATTAATAAAGGACTAATCAAGGATAAACTGCTTACATTCAAATATGGGGAGATGATCTATGTACCCCTCTGAACCCTATCATCATTAGGGTTCATAGAAGGAATTATCCTGGAAGTGGTTTTGTTGTGTCTTGATGATCTTAAGAAAGGAATAGAAACAGAGGAGAAGAGCAATACGCTAGGGGAGAAGGGAAAAAGGGAATGGAAGAATAAGAAAATTTTCTCATATAGTTAGGGGTGCATGAGTAGTTATCTATACAAACAGGGAAAAGGTTGAGGGGGGTGGCTGAGTGTTCAGAAGAAGGAGCAACACGCACACGCACACACACACACACACCCCTCTGATTACAAAGATTCGTTTCACTTAGCAAGCAGATAGGAGGAAAGAGGAAGAAGTGGGGAGGGAGAATTAGAGTAATTAGGGAAGGATTAGCTCTAAGCAAAACAAAGTAAGCACGTACAAAAATATTTATAACTTCTTTTGTGGGGAGCGAAGTGTGGAAATCTCAGGGAGTACATGTAAATTGGAGAATGGATGAACAAGTTACGGTATACAAATGAAGTCTCAGTGGAGTAACCAACCAGGATTTCAGAAGACTGATGATGAAACAGCTGCCTATGTCCTGACATAGAAGGGAAAGACTCAGAATATAGAGTGCGACAAATATTTTTTGGACATGACTATTGTGGAAATTTGTTTTGAATGATTCTGCATGTTGTAAAGGGTTTTGTTTTTCTTGTGTCCTCAGGCGGTTGGTTTGGTGGGAAGGGAAAGGAGGTAGAAACTATGCTGATTAAATAAGTAAAAAAAAAAATCTGAAAAAAATTCTTATATTGGCAGCAGGCCTATTGCAGAAGAGAACTGAAAGTATTTCGTTCAGGATGATTTCTAGAGCACCATGATACTTTAACAGCTTGGAGACATACAATTTTTCTGTTCTGTTTTGAATCCTCTTGACCTTGTTTGCCTAGGCATTGCTAGGAGAAAGTGGTGGTCAGAGTTGGAGTGCTGGAACAGATAAGTATGGCCGTCTAGATGGAGAGCTGCAGCGTGCTAATGCCCACTTCATTGAGGAGCAGCAGGCCCAGCAACAGGTATGTGGCCAAAGAGGCTCCAGATTAATTGAGAAAAAGGAAGAATGAAGAATGACAGAATCCCACTTAGCTTCCTCTAATTAATAGCCACCATGTTTGCTCTCTTAGTGGCATGTGAACCTGTGACTAGCTCTTTTCGTGTGGTTAATGGCACTGTTTTCTTGATGTATAATTGTAATTGAAGGGTGTAAGGCCTCTTTTAGTGTGCTCCTCTGTTTCAAGAGGACTGGGATTGCTTATAACTCTTTTGAAAAGCAGGCCAGACCAGAAATAAGAGACAAGGCTGTGTATTTAAAAAGAAAACCTCCTTCATAACCCCCACTCAGCTACTCGCCTGTTTGTTCATTTAGACAAAGGCACTCTTAGAAAAATTGAGTTCTTGTTTCTTTATTGAAAAGCTATCCATTGGTACCATTGTGTATTCAAATGATAGATCTTTTAAGGGGGTGGGAAGAGAGGGAAGAGAAAAGGAATAGAAGGAAAGCTCTGCTCACCATATCCATTTTCTTGCTTTTTTCAGTGCAGTTGCATGCTTAGAAAAATTTGATTGCGAGTAAGTCAGGTTTGGATTACACTTACATTTGAAAGATTATTTCTTAATTTGTGTTTTATGCACACATGTGTTATGGGGCTTTATTAGTTGTAGTTAATGAGTTGGCTTAACCACTTGAGATACTTGATTTTTTTATTGATAGCCATTAAACTGATAAAAGACAAATATGGAAAGATTATTGTTTTAAAATGGAAAAACAAATTAGACTAGTAGCTGGGGGTGTTGTTGCAATTTGTAGGTGTGGTGGCACCAATAGTTTGTCCCTGAAGAAAAGGGGAAATGCTTTGTTTGCCCTTGTGACCACACACAGCTGCTAGAATCTGGCATTTGCTCTGCAATATTCCCCTCATTCTAGCATTGATTAAGTACATTCTTCGAACAGGGGGGCCTCTTCTTCCCCAAAGCCCCTGTGCTTTAGTGATCCTTCATATTGTCCTCTTGGGTAATATTTAAACTCTACAGCTAGACTCATATTTTGCTTCAGCCCACTGATGAAGGTCTTTTTCATTGAGGCCCTGCTGATTTGTACTCACATAGGGATAAGCAGATGATACCGGTAGCTTAACAGTCCAGCTGTTTAAGTCATGCGTTCCTGGGGGAGAGAGATTTGAGCCCTTGATATCTGGTCTTTGCTTCTGAGGTTGGCAGAGCAGATAGCAGCTTCTAGAGGGCTGGGCTTGGGACTAGGTAAGATAGGTTGTAATTGGCTTAACTGTTTGTTTGGCCCTAGTTGATTGTGGAACAGCAGGACGAGCAGTTGGAGCTGGTCTCTGGCAGCATTGGGGTGCTGAAGAACATGTCACAACGCATTGGTGGGGAGCTGGAGGAGCAGGCAGTGTGAGTATTGAGAAATAATCCCACTTTTGGGAAAAAAGGTTGGATGAGGAAAGAAGCCATTCTCCAAGGTAAGCAGTGACTGGCAGTTTCATTGCAGATAATGTTAAGAGATATTTTGTTTACATTAAATCTTTTGCTTGGGAACAGCTGTTGCTAAAATGGAGCTAATGGAAAACTTAAAATATTCAAGAGCCAATAAATGTTCATCTAATTTCAGCATTTAAAAAAATACCATTAGAAAAAATAGTTGATCCTTTATAATATGCGTATACATAGATACAGAGTTGGAGGGGACCTCACAGATGATCTGGTCCAACCCCTTAATTTTAGATATTTAGAGACTGATGGCTACCTAGAGGCACCTGGCCAGAAGCCCCTTCAGTGAGATTGTCTCCTGCATTCAGCAGGTATCTGTAAAGCTCCTGCTGTCCACTGGGCAGAGTGTGCTAGGTGCCAGAAACAGGAAAGCAAGGGCAAAACAGTCCTTGTCCTCAGAGAGTCTGCATGCTATTGAGAGAAAACAACGTGAACCATGAGGGTAAATTCAGAATATATCCAGAGTAATTTCTGAGGGAGGCAAGTGGGATAGGGAAATCATTAGCAATTGCCAGGAAAGGCCTCATGCTGGAAGTGATACTTGAGCTGACCTTTGATGAAAGTGAGAGAGTCTTTAAATTCAAGATGAGAAGAGAGTGCCTTCCAGTCATGGGAGCATTGCGTGAAAAGGTGTGGTGATGGGAGATGGAATGGTGTGTGTGAGAAACACTGAGTAAATAAAAAGCAATGTGTAAGGTGTGTGTGTAAAGGGGGGAGGGGGTGGGAACTGTATTGCAAAAGGCTTTTACGTGTCAGAGGAATTTGTATTTTATCCTAGAGGCAATTAAAAGCCATTGGAGATTCTTAAGCAAGGGAGAGGCAGTCTCAGAATTGAGCTTTAAGAATATCTCCCTTTCTTCCTCTTTTTCCCCCCCTCTCCATCTCTTGCAACCTCTTCCCTTCACTAACATAGTGACCAGCTTAGTTCAGACCCTCCTCACTTCTCACTTGAACCTTTGTAATAATCTTCTCTCAGACACCAAGCACCAGTTTTTTTTATTGTTAAGTTTTCCTTGTACATCACCTAAATTTTAAACTCAGGACTTCCTAACTTCAGGCCCAGTGCTCTATCCACAGAGCCACCTAGCAGCCACAGGTTTCATCAGTCTGCCAAAAGGGTTCATGTCACAAAAAACATTAAGAATACTTGCTATAATTTGGAACTGTCCCCCCAAAGCTATTTAATTGAGTATACCTTTTGACTAAGAGATAATGCTACTAGGTCAATACCCCAAAGAGATCAAAGAAAAAGGAAAAGGACCCACACATATTTATATCAGCCCTTTTTGTGGTGGCAAAGAATTGGAAACTGAGGGAGTACCCATCATTTGAGAAATGGCTGAACAAGTTATGGTGTATGGACATGATACAATACTATTGTGCCATAAGAAATGATGAAGGGGATGGTTTCAGAAAAACCTGAGACTTGTATGAACTGATAAAGAGTGAAATGAGCAGAACCAGGAGAACAATGTATGCAGTAATAGAAGTATTGAAACAACAATCATCTGTGAAAGACTTAGTAACTCTGATCTACACAAGGCCCAAAGGACCATCTCCATATAAGAGAACTGATGGACTTAGTACAGATTGAAGCATGTTTTCTTCTATTTCTTTCTTTATCTTACTTTTTTCTTTTTTTTTTTGTTTTTTTTTTTTTATTTTTGGATAGGCAATGGGGTTAAGTTACTTGCCCAGGGCCACACAGCTAGTAAGTGTTGTGTATCTGAGGCTGGATTTGAACTCAGGTCCTCCTGAATCCAGGGCATGTGCTCTATCCACTGTACCACCTAGCTGCCCCCTTTTTTTACTTTTTAAAAAAAATTCTTATTGTTTTATTTTTCCCCCAATTACATGTAAAAAAAATTTTTTTAGCATTTTTTTTTTAAAATTTTGAGTTCCAAATTCTCTCTTCCTCCTTCCCTACTCCCGTCATTGAGAAGGCAAGTAATTCAGTATAGATTATACATGTGTAGTCATACAAAACATATTTCCACATTAGTCATGTTGTAAAAGAAACATAGACCAAAAAAAAACCTCAAGAAAAAGAAAGACAGTTGAAAAAAATATGCTTCTACCTGTATTTAGACACTATCAGTTCTTTCTCTGGGGATGGATAGTATTTTTCTCATAAGTCCTTCAGAGTTGTCTTGTATCACTGTCTTGCTGAGAATAGCTAAGTCATTCACAGCTGATCATCTTACAATATTGCTATTACTTTGTATACAGTACATTTCACTTTACATCAGCCCATGTAAGTCTTTCCAGGTTTTTCTGAGAGCATCCTGCTCATCATTTCTTATAGCACAATAGCATTCCATCAAATTCACATAGCATAATTTGTTCAGCCATTCCCCAACTGATGGGCATCCCCCCAATTTCCAACTCCTTGCCACCAGAAAGGAGCTGCTATAAATATTTCTGTATGTACAGGTCCTTTTCTCCTTTGTTTTTTATCTCTTTTTGGATATAGACCTAGTAGTGGCACTGCTAGGTCAAAGGGCATGCATGGTTTTATAGCCCTTTGGGCATATCTCCAAATTGCTCCACAGAATGTTGAATCAGTTCACAACTCCCCCAATAGTGCATTAATGTCTCATTTTTCCCCACATCCCCTCCAACATTTGTCATTCTCCTTTGCTATCCTATTAGCCAATCCTATTAGCCATATAGTGCCTCAGAATTGTTTCAATTTGTATTCCTCCAATCAGTAGCACTTTAGAGCACTTTCTCATATGGCTATGGATTGCTTTGATTACTTCATCTGAAAACTATTCATATCATTTATCCTATTTTTATAAATTTGACTCAGTTCTCTATATATTTGAGAAATGAGGCCTTTACCAGAGAAACTTGCTTCAAAATTTCTTCACAGTTACAATTGCTAAATGTATTTCCCTCCATCCTAACCCCCCCATTCATTCTATTCTCTCTCTCTTTTCACCTTGTCCATCCTCAGAAATATTTTGCTTCTGACTTCCACCTTCTTCCATGTACCCTCCCTTCTATCACCCCCTCCCCTTTTCTCTCATCTTCTTCCACTCCTACTTTTTTTTTTTTAGTGAGGCAATTAAGGTTAAGTGACTTGACCAAAGTCACACTGCTAGAAAGTATTATGTGTCTGAGGCTGGATTTGAACTCAGGTCCTCCTGACTCCAAGGCTGGTGCTCTATCCACTGCACCACCTAGCTGCCCCCCACTCCTGCTTTCTTGTAGGGTAAGATAGATTTCTATACCCAATTGAGTGTGTATATTATTCCCTCTTTTTGCCAGTTCTGATGAGAGTAAGATTCATTCACTTCCCCACAACTCTCCCACTTTCCCTTCCACTGTAAATTTTTTTCTTGCCTCTTTTATGTGAGATAATTTACCCCATTCTATCCCTCCTTTTCCCTTTCTCCCAATGCATTCCTCTTTCTCATCCCTTAATTTAATTTTTTTAGATATCATCCCTGCATGTTCAACTCACACCTGCGCCCTCTGTCTATATATACTTCTAACTGCCCTAATAACAAGAAAGTTTTTATGAGTTACAAGTATCATCTTCCCATTTAGGAATGTAAACAGTTTGACCTTATTAAGTCCCTTATGATTTCCCTTTCCTGTTTAGCTTTTTATGCTTCTCTTGAGTCTTGTATTTGAAAGTCATTTTTCCTCTGAAGATTATACTCAGTTTTGCTAAGTAGGTGATTGTTGGTTATAATCCTAACTCCTTTGCCCTCTGGAATATCATATTCCAAGCCCTCCTTCAGTGTAGAAGCTGCTAAATCTTGTGTTATCCTGACTGTGACAGCTTCATGATACTTGAATTGTTTCTTTCTGGCTGCTTGCAATATTCTCTCCTTGACCTGGGAGCTCTGGAATTTGGCTATAATATTCCTGGGAGTTTTCATCTTGGGGATCTCTTTCAGGAGGTGGTTGGTGGATTTTTTCAATTTCTATTTTACCCTCTGGTTCTAGAATATCAGGGCAGTTTTCCTTGATAATTTCTTGAAAGATGATGTCCAGGCTCTTTTTTTGATCATGGCTATCAGGTAGTCCAATAATTTTTAAATTATCTGTCCTGGATCTGTTTTCCAGGTCAGTTGTTTTTCCAGTGAGATACTTCATGTTGTCTTCTTTTTTTTTTCCATTGTTTTGGTTTTGTTTTATTGTTTCTTGATTTCTTATAAAGTCATTACCTTCCATTTGTTCAATTCTAATTTTCAAGGAATTATTTTCTTCAGTACCTCCTTTTCCATTTGGCCAATTCTGCTTTTTAAGGAGTTTTTTTTTTCTTTAGCGAATTTTTGTGTCTCTTTTTCAATTTGGCCAATTCTGCTTTTCAAGACATTCTTCTCCTCATTGTCTTTTTTGAGCCATTTGACCTATTTTGTTTTTTAAGGTGTTATTTCAGTATTTGTGTGTGTGTGTGTGTGTCTCCTTACCAAGCTGTTGACCTCTTTTTTCATGATTTTTCTTGCATCACTCTCATTTCTCTTCCCAATTTTTCTTGTACCTCTCTTACTTGATTTTCAAAATCTTTTTTGAGCCCTTCCATGGCCTGAGACCAATTTGTATTTTTCTTAGAGGCTTTGGATGTTGGAGCTTTGACTTTGTTTTCTTCTGAGTGTGTATTTCGATTTTCCTTGTCACCATAGTAACTTTCTATGGTCCAAATTTTTTTCTGTCGTTTGCTCATTTTTCCAGTCTATTTCTTGACTTTTAACTCTTTTTTGAAGTGGGGCTCTACTTCCAGGGTGGAGGGCACACTGTATCAAGCTTCAGGGGTTTTGTGCAGCTGTTTTCAGAGATACTTCTAGGGACCTGTAAGTTTTCAGTTCTTCCAAGGTGGTATGATCTAAGGAGAGGTGTGTTTCTACTTTTTTGGCTTGTGCCGTGGTCTGTGAATGACCACAAGCACT